TCCATAACTAGAAACAGAAATTCGTATGTACCATTTCCATGATCAAAAGCAGTGGGTGACACCGTGGCCGGACCGCGAAGCAAAACACGCCACGAGTCGCCACCAATAAGCTTCAGTTTTCCATCGCGAGTCTTGGTTTGAATGCTAAAGCGGCTGAACTGACCCGCTGGTCTAATGTCAAAGAACGAAATCAAACTTTTAGCGGCATCCGTTTGTAGCTGACGGTTCGGTGACTCTCCATTCCACGAGACGTTGTAGAAACAAGGTCTCAACAGCGAGTCCAAGTCGACTCGAGCTCTACGAACACGACACCAGTTAACTTGGAAGTGGTCGATATGACGCGAAATTCTCATCGAGTTCTCGAGATGCTGTGATCTGTCTTCGTTGCTGAAATATTGATGGAAGAGAATTTGAACTGCCATCGCTGAAAACCATAATTTGAGAAATGTTTTCCACTTCTGGAAAAGGATTTGAATCATTTGGAACATTTATCTCATGTCAACTACATGTACATTGTAAGAAATAAATTTCGCTCGTTACGAGAATTGCATTGAAATCACATTGAATTAAATTGAAACAACAGAGACCATTGCCATAGAAATTCAACCAATTTGCCAGGCACGCATGTGTTGTGCTGTTCTTTATGCTCTTCATTGTTTGCTTTTTCTCCTTATTCAGTTTCATGTTGTTTATGACACCACTAGCTTCTATTGATATACTGGGCGCTTTCCATTCATTGAAAAACTTGGAAATTTCCAGTGGCGAATGGAACAGCGTTTTGCGGAATTTGCAAAAAAAGGACTGCCTTGTAATGTAGTTGACAGGAGATAAATGTTCCAAATGATTCAAATCCTTTTCCAGAAGTGGAAAACATTTCTCAAATTATGGTTTTCAGCGGTGGCGGTTCAAATTCTCTTCTACCAATATTTCAGCAACGAAGACAAATCACAGCATCTCGAGAACTCGATGAGAATCTCGCGTCATATCGACCACTTCCAAGTAAACTGGTGTCGTGTTCGTAGAGCTCGAGTCGACTTGGACTCGCTGTTGAGACCTTGTTTCTACAACGTCTCGTGGAATGGAGAGTCACCGAACCGTCAGCTACAAACGGATGCCGCTAAAAGTTTGATTTCGTTCTTTGACATTAGACCAGCGGGTCAGTTCAGCCGCTTTAGCATTCAAACCAAGACTCGCGATGGAAAACTGAAGCTTATTGGTGGCGACTCGTGGCGTGTTTTGCTTCGCGGTCCGGCCACGGTGTCACCCACTGCTTTTGATCATGGAAATGGTACATACGAATTTCTGTTTCTAGTTATGGATCCAGGAGTATATAAGTTGGATATCACTTTGGACTATAGCTTATGTGATGGATACCGCGATCCACCGAAAAACTGGTTTATAGTTGGTAAGTATGTATCATATGAGTGAGAAAGTTTAGTTCATTGCGATTGGCCAAGAGCAGGCAAATTTAACGTTAAATTTCATTTGCACTATAGCGCAAATTAACACAAGCGTTCGCGATTGTACTTATTTCAGAAAAATAGCTTATGTTAAGGCTCTGATTTATTAAACGGACTAAGTTAAAATTTCGTATGTAACTTATAAATTTGGGAAATTGGACGACCTGTAAACAACCACCCAAAAAAGTGTGTAAACATTTACGTAAGGGAAATGGAGTCAAATTAAACTTTTTTATATACAGTTTTCTCCTTTAATCTGGAATCTGTTCAAGTGTAGTGACTTAGGGAGAACTCCAGTTGCTAAATGACGTTTTTCTTCAGGGAATTCTCACGGTAAAGTGCAGAAAGATGGTACGCTTGGTGTAAACCGTGCAAAGGAAGATTACCTTCTTCAACCGTTCCACAATGGGAAACTCCTCATGATCAGTGTACCGTTGCCTAGTGATGGTGGTGAGTGTACCACGTGATTATCTCAACTTTCCTCCACCCCCCATCCCATCCCCGTCATCTTCCTTCCCTCTCTCTCCCCCTCTGCTTTTCAACCTGCCTGCTCTGGTTGAACATGAGTTCAAGAAAATGCAATTGAATACCAAGTACATTTTTTTATTAGATAAAGAAATTCTTACCAATGACAATTTTTTTTAGTAGTTCCACTTGAGTGACACATTCGTCTCTTTGCATAAAAAAGCCGTTTACAGCCGACAAACCGCCATAAACATTTACAATTACACAGGCAATGGTCTCAAGTGGTTATCCTTTATTTCTAGCATCAGTTTCGTTCCGCAGCTGGGTTTTTTTGTGATAGACAACGTCACGTGACAAATTTCTTCAAAGGGCTTGGTACCAAATCCTCACTGCATATTCATTACCTCATCCCATAAGATTGTTATGGGAAGAGTCCGCGACTGATGAGGCAGTAGGCATGTAGCGAGGATATGACCAGATAGGAGCTTGGTCAACAGCTACCAAGGGAGGTGGGTGGGTCGCAAAAGATGACTGTCTTTGTGGAGTACAGGACGAAAAGACCACGCTTCAAGCGGAACGACCAAATTTAAACTCCAGATGGCGTACAGCATTACCGACGCTACCAGCACGGGCGATAACGGGGGAATTTGAAGGAGTAACAGCATCTTTTGAGATGGGCTAATTAATTGTGCATTGAGACTAGTGAAAAACAACAGCAGTAGAAGGATCTATTAATTTGTGTACCTATTAATTTTCGGAGTTTGTTACTGCTAAACCACCCTCATTACAAACATTTCCATGTTTTTAAATATCTTTATAGGAACCCATTTAATAAACAGGCTATCAAGGCGTTCTGACAGTGCAAATGTTTCCTTTGGCCTTGACCTGTCGTGTGGTATGAAATGCAATTTCATGTGGGATGGCTTAGGCCGTTGGCTGGGAAAAAATTGGAAGCCATATCTTAGAGGTAAGTGTAGCCACTGAAATGGAATTTGAAGTGAAAAGAGGCTCTGATATTTGGGAATATAGTTTAGATCCGACTGAAAACTGCGAAACTTTAAACAACAGTAAGTTAAAATCATTTCGACGTTGGACAGGCAACTTAATAAACAGAGTGTAAATACGTGAAGGATAACATTTATTAACGAGGCTATTGTGTTTATTATCCTTCAAGTATTTTTCGCAACAAGCGCAGTTTTGAAAACTGGGGAATATCCCTCGGATATTCCCAGTTTTCAGTCACGTGACGTGTTTAGACCAATCGCGCGCGAGCGAAAACATTTGATGGATTATATAGCCTCCTTTGCTTTAAGATTGAGCTTTATTCAGTCTGTGGAAACCGTTCGACAAGGAATGCATATTTTCTCGAAAAATGGAAATTATAGTAAATAGATATAATAGGTAAGTTGTTTTATGTTTGAACGTTATTTTGTTAAGACTCGAAATCTACAGTTTACTTTAAGTTACCTCAATATGCATATTGGCGTGGATATAGACAGATATAGAGTATCAACAAAATACAAACAACTTAACCTTTTTTACAGGAATTCAACTGCAATGAGTAATACTAGCAATAGTCTTATGGTCTAACTTCTTTATTTATTTCCAGGGATTTCAAATGATCCCCAGCTTAAAACCTTATCTTCTCCAGGTCCCAAACTTCAAACATTGTGGATTTTCGGTGACTCACAAGCTGAACGATTGTATCTATCAATAAAGAATGGAACGCTGTGTAAAGAGATCTTTAAAACTTGTAATCTCACTAAAATGTGGACGTACGCTTGGCCGAGTGTAACACCAGTAGCCTGGGACGACAAGGACTTTAATCCCCAGCAAGTTGTAGATCTTGTTCGAAGAGTTCTGGAAAAACCGGAGATGAATGAAAACAGCGCAATGGTTTTAAATCTGGGCCTACACTACATTGAAAGCACAAGTCTCGCAAATTATCGCCAACTGCTGAATGGAGTTATAGATCTTTTAAATGAAAGGAACGCAGAAACTGGTGATTCGAAGCATAAGGCACGTATTATTTGGAAAACTACAACATCTATGAACAAGGAAAAAGACACAGGAAGCCGGTTAAAGAGCGACTGGCAACGATTCCTAAACTTACCGGTAAGACGGCTCTGTACTGTAAAAGTCTCTCCCCCAACCTTCTCTCGTTCTACATAGTCGACCTTGAAATACGAAATTCCTATAACATGGTGGAATGCTGATATTCCAAACCACCTAGAGGAATGGATGATGGTTCGAAAGATCGTGGGTACATTTCTCCTAATTATTGTCAAGACAGAAAAAACTTGCCTCGAATAACTAGGAGGTTCGCAAAATTGAGGGTACAAAAAATTCCTGTAATTCCTATGAAAATTAATTTTTAAAGCCTATAACGGGAACCTGAAAATAAAGTTCCTTCCACCGTGGTTATTTTACCGTGGAATAGTCTACCTCAAAAGCTAAGACATTGTAATTCTCTGGGTGTTTAAGAAAGAAATGACCTCTGGCCTTTATCAGGCTCTTTTAAGGTAAAGTAAACTAGCGCATTTTATGATGATTTGCTATTTTTGCATTGTACTGATGATGTAAATGAATACGCACAGGTTCAGATATAGTTCCTTTGTACAATTATCCCTTACCCAGCTCTCCGTATGCGAAAGACCTCCCAAACTAAACAAGTTTTTCCAGTAAGGTATCGGTCTTACACGGTCCCCTCCCCCCAGCCCAACCTAGTTCTTCATGCGTAAGGTCTTTGTAAATATTCTTACTCAACAGTTTTCTCGTACGTTTCCACTCATAAGTAACCTTCATATTGTTGTGAAAAGCTGTAACGAAGTAGCTGGGGTAGTCTGGGATGAACTAGCTTCCATTGGGGGTGGGGGAGCGATGCTCCTAGACGCTGTATGCTACGGAAGCGCTTCCTACACGAAGGTACGGCGCAAGCCTTCTGGCTCCTCCGATCCCGGGCCTGCGATGGACTTCTCTGAATCATTCATATCTTCACGCATATATACTCCTTTCTTTTCAGCGAGTGGGACTCTACAATGCCTTGGCCACGTCCCTTATGTGCGGAGCTGGCTTGGAGGTCCTTGATGTTTACCCATTTACTAGGTCCTATCCAGGAGGTACCGGGGGACCCGACGTTGCGCATTACAAGGAACATGACACGGTACATTTCAAGTACCTAGCCATGAAGCCTCTTGATCTATTTTTGGAAGATTACTTTCTCGGCAAAGTACCACTTCCTATAGATCTTCAAAATTATCAATTTTCTTGACTTCGCGGGCCTTACCAGTTTTAATTACAAAGGCTGAAACTCTTAACCTCGAATTATCCTTTTCAAGATACAAATCAGTTATCTCATATTTTTTGTCGTAGTATCTAGATATTGATTAAATTTTATCAGTCAGTTTATTTGTGAACTACGCAATCGTTTCTTTGCCAAATTTAAGCTAGTATTTTTTTTCTCAGGCAATAACCCGTGACAGAGCTGGGAACATTTTGCCTAATAGGGAACCCGAGTTACGGAAGGCTTACGAGCGAAATCTTTCCGCAGCGGGAAGAACAAACCCATGGAAGTTTTGCTTCCAGAAAAAGTTTCTCACAACGTTGTAAATTTAAAAGGAAAAATCACTCATTGAGTTGAAGGTTTAATTGTTGTCCTTGAGAGGGAGCGTTTTGATACCCCTTAACAAGAGACAAAGTGAAACAGTAGTTGACCAGTTTTACCGTAGTTTGCCGTTGTTTGTGTTCTAGCCATTGCGACTGATCATGAACTGTTAGGCGTCAATGGTACTAGGTCCCATTTATCTCTTAAAATGCCTTACTTCTCTACCGTTTGTTGCCCAAGACTAAGTGCATAAATGGATATTGGCGAAAGAAATGCTGAAGGTTACGAGGTAAGAGTGCTATATGAAGGTGAAAATCTCTGTCTACAGTTATAACGTCTTGATAACCTACAAATTTTCGTTGGCTAGCATTCAAAGAAATGTAAGAAGATCGTTGGGGAGAAATTGATACTTTGAGCCTGGAATGTGAGTGATCAGCAACAAATTTCTGTTCACAAAACTCCTTCGCATGTTGTTGTCAAATTAGCAGCTAAGACATTTAATTGGGAAAGGCTCAGCGCCACCCATACATTTATAAATAATAAGGTGGTTCTGAACTCTTCAGAACATTCGATGGCCACTTGCCATCTCCATGGCAACTAAATTTAACGTCAAACGCATCTGATTCTGTTTTACAGAACGTTCTCTGTCAGCATTGTCCACTTAGCCAGCTGGTGTAGAGTGCCAAAAACGAGAAGGTTTATTTAATTACTAAGAAATAGTTTCTCCCTTACAATAAAGCAGTTTTATTTTATATTTTTGTTTTTATCTCTCTGAGCGCAACCAACCACTAAATCGGCATAACTCCCGAACTAACTTTTGCTATAAGCCCTAAAATCTAGTTCAAAGCACAGAGTTCGATAAACGTCCAATATGTGTTCGTTAAATCAATTCTCTTCAAGAAAGCGAAAAGTTTAACACGTCACTACAAAAGCATTTTGATGCATTTGCGTTAAATTCATAACTTGTCAATTCTGTCAATTGAACTTAATGGAGTTAAGATGTTTATTGTTTCACAATTCTACATTACAAGACTGTTTTTCATTTTGGTACCGCAATAAACAGTTGATGAGCAGCACCTCCGTGACCCAAGATCACGAGAGCTTTAATTATAGACAACAGGCAAGTGAAGTCGTAAAAAGATGTCTAGTGAAAGCTTCCTCTGCCTTCACGTGGTTCTCAAGTGCGCGCGTCACTATTTTTCGTTGATAAAAATCATGAATTAGAGTTTTCCGTTGAGTTGAAAGAATTTCATACATAGAAAAAAACATAACTTGGTACATTAAGTTCCTCTGCGCCCCCTTTCGGGGTTGTCATCGCCAGGCGGAAAACTTATGGAAGGACGATTGCACGTGACACCCTGACGAACTTGAAGTATGAATCACGAATCATCCATAACGCTTTGTCATTTATATCATCAATTTGGTGTTTTTCAAGGTAAATTAACCGTCGTTGTGAGTTTGTGAAGCTGATGATTCGAGTGTTAACGCTTTGACATAACAAAGTCAATGCCGGCGCAGCCCGCCAGTTTCTATAGAAACTAATGACTAATTTGATCGTCCAAGACGTATTCTTTTTCTCAGCTCAATAACGTCATTTACTCAGTCCGTTTAAACAGACTGCTGTCGCAAATTATGTTTGGCGCTGTAAGCTTTTTTGTGTATCATCTCTCAAGGAATCGTCTTGGCTCTAGACCCTGCACCAGCCCTTTGGCTTTCGTTTGATTTGCTCTCGAGTGCCCTCCCTGGCCTCGATGTATTACTGTCGCTGCCAAGATCCCTGTTGCTTCTTGAAGACCCCTGGACAATATTCCTTCTTCTCCTGGCATGTGCAGTCCTGGACGATGCTGGAAAATTTCGATGTCCGTTCCGATGGCCACAAAAGCAAGATAACAGTAGCCGCTTGAAAGTCTTCCTCATCTCAGCATTGCGGTAAGCATACACCAACGGATTCACCATGCTGTTGGAATAATGCATCCACTTTACAAAGCGAACCAGCCTCAAAATGTCAGGGTAGGGTGGTAGGCAAGGATAGCAAAACTCTGCTATCATATTGAGGACGAAAAACGGAAGCCACGCGATCACAAAGAGGCCTGCGATAACCGCAATGGTGGCGGCGATCTTGGCCTCTTTTTGCATGGGGCTCATTGATGTTCCTGCAGGTTGGACCCTCACTCGCGAGGTACCTTTTGCCGTCTGGAAAATGATCGCATAAATAGTCAGTATGACGAGCGCTGGGAGAGCAAAACACGTGGTGAAAAGAATAACGCTGTAAGGTTTCTGCCACTTCTGCTGCTGCACGGGAAAGAGCCCCGCCATGATGAAAGCGAAAGACCACGCCACAGCGATCATGGCGTAGTAAATCCACATGGAATACGATCGATGGTTTATCGGGCGCGTTATCGCCAAATATCGCTCGATGCTGATGGCTGTAAGCTGCAAAACGGAGGCGCAGCCGGTGAATATGTCCACGGTTGAATAAAACGTCAGTAATCCTTGACTATCGACGCATGTCAAATACTGTTGACAATACGAAAAGTATATCCAAAGAGGGATTGATATCAGCCCTACCAATAGGTCCGATACGGCCAAACCTACCAGGAACGTGTTGTTGATTGTCCGTAGCCGTGAATTAAGCCTAAAAGCTGCAATGACGAGGCTGTTTCCGAGAATTACAAACAACGCCAGTAGAACGTACACGATGGTTGCAAATATTATTTCCACCTCGCCATGTGGCAAAGTGGGAAGGACTTGTGGCGCGGGGAAGGAGGTGGGGATTCGGGTCATTGAAGTTGAATTGTTGCTCATTCTGCCGTCAATCACAAGTCGTCTAACTCGTTCATCGTCAGGGTTTCTGCCTTGGTGTGTTTGTTTTCACCTAAAGGAGGAAACACAGTGGAACAGAGCGCATTGAAACTTATGAAAATATTGACTTAAAAATGCTTAAATATGATTAAACATCAATACACTCGGGAATTCACCACAATGAAGAAGTTAACACCCGTCAAAACATTACTTAAGACTTTGCTAATGAGAGCAGCCATGCATCACAAAAAAACAATCAAAGAATCTTTTAATCGACTTTTGCAGGTCGAAAACATGAGATTACTTTAGATGAAAGTAGCCACAGCCGGTAAATTCGTTCATGTAAGGTAAACCGCCTGTAACAATGAGTTTTCAATAATTGATTTTCAAAAGCTACCCACGAGTTTGGTCCTATTGATAAAGGGTACCGACTTAATCCTGACGGAGATTAATAACAACTGCCTGTAGCCAGAACACATTGATTTAGTTGCCCAAACCAGATGTATTACAAAACCTTGAAATCATGAAACTCAACATATCATTTGTGAAAAAAGGGGCTTTATAACAACTTTCTACAGCACAATAACAGTACCATATAAAGGTACTGTTTTAACAGAATTCATTTGATCGGTCCAAAGAAGATTACAAGGCAGGCAACTGATCTACAGACTAACCAGTCAGAGCTGCTGGCTCAGTTCAAAGCACCATTGAGCTAACTCAGAATTATTGTGAATATAGCTTTTCAGAGAAGATTCTCGGTTTACATTTTAATTTGTCGTTTATTTTTTGATTATCACTTCTGTTAAACTCGACAAAGCGCCGGCAAATTATGAGGAATAATTTTGTACAAAAGAAATTAAAACCTGATTAACTTTTAATCTCGTCTTATCGTTAATCGGCTTGCTTCTCTTTACTTCTTCTTCCCGTTTGATAACGAATTCGAATATACCACTGAGGAATATATTTTCACGAGGAAAGACGTCTCGACATCGAACCAAAATCTTCTGAAAAACGATAAGCAGACATGTGCTAAACGGGGAAAACGTTTCTGCTGATAACGTACTCATAATTTCAAAAAGAATGAAAAATAAGCTAAAAATCAACTTTCTCGACCTTCGATCTAAGCGTCGACAAAATGAAAATAACATGACGGCCGAAGTGAGAGAGAGCAAGCGAACCTCTTTTCCCATCGAAAACTTTTTCAGCACAGTCGCTTTCAAGCAGTCTTCACAGAATTTGCCGTTGTATGTTGTTGTACTAGTATACCTTTGCTGCAGTTTTCTTATTAACAATGACTTTGCATGCAATTTACAATAAAATGCTACTAACTTACATTCATGTTTTTCTCTCTTTTTTCGTCGCGTTACCATCTATGTCATCAATGACAGTTCGTTTTCTCTTAATTTTCCTGCTCTTGGAAATTCTCAGACCTTCTCTGCCAGCGAATAGATGTTGTTGCTGCTGTCGTCGTAGTGTAAACTGAAATAACTTCGAGCTCTCAAAAAACTGGCGTTTCTTCCACAAATCGGATGCAGCCAAAACAGAGGTAAGTTTAATAACTAGCGAATCGATTTGGCGTGAAGTTAATTGACGGTCTCTTTGTAGGAAGTGTGTGAGCTGTCAAAACCTACTACCATTTTCCCAAGTTTGACATTTTGGCAAATGAACGCGCTGTCATTGACAATTTTCTAGCGAAAACAAAGAAAATATTTTGAGATGTGCGAAGTAAAACAACGGATGTAAATAATTTATCTGATACCGTGAATTCATAATGTGTTTTCGCTAAGCAGTTTAATTCGCTTTTTATCAAACTAATTAGTTGCGATTCGTGTTAACTAGATGAAAACACCGCGGGGAAAGTCGACTCAAAGTCATGATAAAGAAAACTCGCTAACATTTTCGCGGCTTAAATAAAAAAACACTGTCTGGCACCTTTACTTTAGGTGCTAAACGAATAAAAACAAGGCCTTGAACTTTCAAGGAAGATTTAGGGACTTTATGTTGATAAAAAGGTGGACAGTACAAGGGGACACTTACAATGTGGAACAGGAAAGCTGGTGGCATGGAACTATAAGGGCAAGCGAAATTTGCGAAAGACAAATATATGTCTGGCGTTTTTAATCTCCATGCATAGAGCTGCCAAAAAATTATATTCAAATGAAAAACTTCAACAGAACTGTCCTTGCAAACAACTATCTTTGTAAGGGCCCCGCCCAAGTGACTATTGTGTATTCGGATTTTAAAGACATATGTTCTTGTTTCCTCTAATTCTCGAGCGCATTGTCGTTCTGGCGTCGGTTTATGCGACATTCTTTTGTCTTACAACAAGGCGGAAACGGAACTTTCTAGAAGAATACTTGACATCGATAATTAATTCCTCTTATCGGCTTCTTTCAATAATGCAGAGCTGATGCTTGAAACTTCCGACTAAAAAAAGGACATCATAAACTACCCGGCTTTGCCTTTTGTTTTCGCTTGCATCACATTTTCTCCAGATTAGATTTTTCGTGTCATGCAAATGCTGGCCCTACATGTGTCTTATACTGAAAAAGACAATATTTGCAATTTTCTTTATTGTTTTTTTTCTGGAGTTTCGGATGAAAAGTTTTATGTCTTAAGTTTTCACAAGCAAATTAACGAAGTGAAATAATTTCCGTGAAATGTTTACCTGAATTATTCTGCAAAGTCTGCATTTTTTGGAAAGAGGTATTGTTGATCAAACGTGAAGGTTCGAGATATAAATTTAGTGACAAGCTAGTGTACTATCGGCTTTCAGTTTCGACAAGTTTGAAATTAAAGTAGAACAAAAACAAAGTTCGAGGTTAGCTATTGTTGTTATAAGTTGTTCGTTGTCTTCCCTCACTTCTACGAATCTCAGAGACGTCTGTTCTTCTTTTGATCTCAGCATTTTCAATACTTTGTGAGAGTTGCCGTTGATTTCAAAGTTGAGTCTGTTATTTGTGATCGTCGATCCTTGATCTTTTGCATTCATTATCATTATCATTATCATTATCATTATTATTATCATTATTATTATTATAGATATATGATTTTTTTTAACCTGAGTTTATTTATTTCCGATATTTTTGCTTTTCCTGCTAAAATTTGATTCTTTACTTTGCCAGCATAATGCTCGCTGCCGCTGAAAAGGTGAAAATTGGCCAATGCTGATAAAATGTTATCTAATTCTCGCGAACTCAAAAGTTGCCAAAAGAGGAATTGCAACATTATTCTGAGGGCATGAAACTCTCGAAAGTGAGTGGTTCTAAACATGTTCTATTTTTATTTTCTATTTTTTTAACCAAAATGATGATCAAACAAAGAGTGTCTAATAACAAAGTGTCCAATACCAAAATTCGCTTGCCGTACACTTGATGGGGTTCTTCTATTGAACATTTTTTTATGTATTTCCAAAACAGTTTTATAAATGACTTTTTTCCTCGAGGTTTGGCGAAGAGATGGTAAATTTTAGCAGCAGGGTTTGCTTCTCTAAATCCTCCCTCGCATTAAACTTGTTAGAGATATGACGCTTGAAACAGAAGTACCCTCCCTAAACTGGGACTGTAATCATACACGCGATTAAACAAATCGATTGGACTTCCGCTGAGCGTCCTCCGATCTTGTTAATTACTGAACCAATAACACATTACCGATGTTAATCACTCCAATCAGAGTGATATGAGCTTGGTGACTGAACCTACAGCTTTCCCCACAAATCCAAGCAGAAAGTCACAAATAACATGAATAAGCAACAACGCAATTTTTGTCTAAAATCTGCTTTGCATTTCCTTACGACAGAGACTTCTCACTTTATTTCCCTAAATGGATATGTCTCTCAGAGCCACCACCTTGATTTGGTGACAAAATTGCACTACCGATATCTAAGCTTATTAACCTTGCTGGAAAAAGAGGCCGCGGTTCTTTATCGACGTAATGTTAAGATAAACTGTTTCATTCTTTCCTCTTAAATGCTCGGTGCCTTTTATTCACTTACAAACAACGACAATTTAATTTAAGGATTGTCAAAGACGATTTTCTCTGTGAATTATTATTTCTAGAGGCAAAGTAATGTGAATTACAATTGACATAAACCGTCGATAAAAGATAAAAGAAAAAGGAAAACCAAACACTACGGTTATGTCAAAGAGGGTGTAAAGAAGATATGATAGCCGCGCAAATTAAAAAATCTCACTTGACCCAATCAAATTTCGTTCAATTAGCTTGCAGAGTAGATCGTAGATCGTACTTTTTTGAAACTAAAGTATTAGAGTTCCCTCCTGCTGGCAACGCCAGAAAATTTTTCAGTCCGTTCCCATCTTAGCTTAATGATTGCAAACATTAAATTCAGAACTGATATTGCACCCTCAACATCAGCTCTCTTTGAGCAGCTTTTCAGGGACGCGATTCGTGGTTGTCCCAGTTTTCCAGAACTAGGCAGCTCTAAAATTTCTTTGACTTCAAATTAATCACTAGCAGTTGTCATACAGGTGAAATTAACAACAAGATGTGTATTGCGTTCTCGCCATTATACTCAGGTCCTGCCATCAAGTATTGAATTTTTATCACACTTAAACAAACATTATCCTCAAGTTTTCGCCAAAATCGCCATTAATACGCACGCTGAGAAACCATTGCTGAAAGGAAGAAGGCTCTTTACTCCGTGCAAAATTGAGATTGAAGCTAGAGAAGAAAGAAAAAAAAATTCTGACCTTTCAGTTCGGCGGTATAGCCAAGACGAACAATCAACATATGCTTTACTCTTAACATTCATTCGGCATGTCGGTCGTCAAGGTTAATTCCCAGATTCTCCTAACGACGAAAAGCGAGTTTCTTTTCACATCAAATTGGTACACACGTGGCTTCTTTTAAGGCTCTTTTGCATTTTTAATTTGTCAAGGCAAATTTCGGCCGTCCACAAAAACTTAAACTTTCAACGCGCAAGAAACTTCTCGTTCGTAGAGCAAAATTCGCACAAAGCTCGGAACAATGACATATGAAGTCTTAATTGATATCCTCTATAAACTGTGCTTGTATAAGGCGAACAAAGATATATTTTTTTCCTTCCGGCAATATAAAAATTAATTACCTACCTTGAGTAGAAAATTCAGAATACTGATCACACCAGAATCTGGCCATTAAAAATAAAGATCAGTCAATGACAACTTTCTTGTCTTTTTTTTTTTTTTTTTTTTTAAATACTTCACATAGAAGGAGGTTTAAACATAGCACCTGTAAATTCTACTAACAAAAAGCCGAAACGTTTATTAAAAAAATTATATTTACACTAGTTTTCTTGTGGTCCAAAAACTAATATTTTGATTGAATTTTAACAAGTTCCCCTGCTATTGATTGGTCGAAAAATGGCTTGAAAAGATCAGTTGTGAAACGTTTACACAACAAATTAACCAAATTTGAAACACATGAGTAAAACTTTATCGTGATAAAGTTCTCACCAAAATCACGGACTCAAAAACAGCGCAAAAAAGACCGGAAAAGGGCTAGCGCGCCGGGGAGGCGAATTGTCCAGTGACTGTTTCCCACACTATGACCCTGGTGAGTTATACATGAATGAAAACGGAATGCTTAAACCAGCGTCACTAACAGAGGCAATCACGAAAACTCATTAATTTTGGTATAAACACATTAGCTGTTTTATCACTTTTTTATTCTCCATTTCGAGTGCTTATCGCACGTGACCAGAGTCAGATTTTCTCAAAATGAAAGAAATGATGAAGAGAAAAGTTAACACCAGTTACTACGCTCGATCGTCTTGACGTACATATGGGTTATTGACCGAGCATGAGGTTAAGATGGCTGGATATTGGCCAAGTTTGCTTGTTTGTGGACCGAGACGGAGTCAAGGTCCATAAACTCGCAAAAAGTGGTCAATAAAGGATTTATTATACGGCCTTCAGAGAAATTTTTCTTGCGGGACACAGCGGGTGGTCCCGAGTGGGTATGATTACAGCCACTCACAGCACAGGATTTGGTTCATCTTGCCCGCTCATGGAGCCACATCATAAAACGTTGTTCTTGATCTACTAAAGAAAAAAGGCTTTATCAGGCCAGTGGCCAAGTAACAAGGAGTATTTCTACTTCTAGGAGTATTTCTTCCTGATCGTTGTCATTCTGCTGTTTTCTTAGGAAAGACACTTTACTCTCACAGTGCCTCTCTCTACCTAGGTGTATAAATGGATACTAGCAAATTTAATGCTGGGGGTAACCCTTAGAAAAATTAGCATCCATTAAGGGGGGAGTAGAAATACTCCTAGTCGCTTTATGCTATGAAAATTGGATACACGCATCGGCCTGATGGGACACTAGGTTAGAATCGTACGCAGACTTTACCTTGCCCATCGACTTGTTCTGATCGCCGTGATTTAGTGAATATTTAAAATGGGATTCATGACGTCACCTGATTGCTGAGTCATAAGGAAATGCGGCTATTAATAGTTTTGTTATGGTGATTAACGGCTTGAAAACAACTTAGTTAAGACGTAAGCGGTTGTTAATGAACTCTGCTTATTGTCAGTCACAAAGACAACGATTGTTAGCTAAAACAAACAATTTAGCTTTAAACATCCAGCTTTATTAACAGCGCCTGCTTTAAACTGATCTCAAGATCGATACACTGAACCAAAAATAACATGCAATTGACAAGAGAAGACTTTAATCGAAGAGTCTAGAACAATTTTTGTAAAGCATGTGCTGAAATGAAAATGATTTACATATTTTAAATGTCTCCTTGAGGGGACAATAACACAGAGTTCAAATCGAAATAGCTATAGTTTTTCATGATTAGATATGACCTAAGTGAGAGTAAAGTAAGTAAATACGAAACTTGATATTCCATTTATTTCACAACTCTCTGAAAGTTAGGATTGCCATCATGTTTTAAAACAGTTTCATTTTCTCCTCGATAACCAACTTTTACCTTTGTAATTAGATAAACAAATAAACACTTTCAGCTAACCCTATCATAAAGATCTGTATATATTAAACTCATAAGAGACTCTATGATACTTTTTTATCTTTTGAGAGCTCATCGATAAATTCGAACCAAAGTTTTAAAATTGCTGTGTAAAACAGGAACCAATTAAATGAAAGACGTTACAAATAAATTACAACTGTTTTCTTTTTGCGTTTCTTTGGTGGTTTTGTTGGGGTCTTATCTTGTATTTTCTCGTCAAAAACGCGTCTTTCTTCGGAAGAAATAACATTCCTTAACGAAATGGATTGCTGACGCTCCTGAGCCTGACCTTGCATAATGGATTGGCCAACTATATTTCTTGTCCTTGCCAAGCCCACATCGCACGGTAAAAATTTGCTGGCAATTTTCGCCAATGTTCGCCGCATTTCAGTGTTCCTGTAGGCGTAGATATAAGGATTAACAGCACTGCTGCTGTATTGCAAGAATTTCAGAAACTTAACTAGGTGTAACAGTCCCTGTGGGGACGGTAGGCACGACAAACAAAACGTCGCAATGACTGTGACCACGAAGAAAGGCAGCCAAGCGACTATGAATAGGATTGTTATCACTGCCACGGTAATGGCGACGTTTAATTCCTTAATGGCCCCTCCAGGAGTGTGCCCGCAGCGCGTCGAGGAACTCGAAAGACGTCTCCTAGCTTGAAACCTGCTGATCTTGAAAATATAGCAATAGCAAGTCACGATTATCACAAGCGGGAAGCAGAAGTAGGTGAGAAATAAAAATATGGTGTAGGTTTCCCGCCAACGTGGCGTTCTTGCTTGCAAGGGTTGCAAGGCGGCCATAACAGTGGCACTAAGCCATGCTACAAAAATCATGGCGCAATAGACACGTCGAGGCATTTTGCGATGAATCAACGGCCACTGCGCCGAGATAAATCGCTCGAGTGCGATAGAAGTGAGCTGTAAAATGGAAGCGCAGCCGGCAAAAACATCAAAGCTGATGTACACTGCATAAGTCGAGAAACAGTAACCAGCCATGATATTGTCGTGCGACACGACAAACGTCCAAAAGGGCACCGCAAAAGTACCCACTAACAAATCACTGGCGGCAAGGCCAACGATGAAAAAGCTTGTGGCAGTTCTTAGCCTGCCATTTGTCGCAAATGCTGCAATTACAGAACCGTTTCCCAGTACTGTTAGTGGTATCAGAATTGCGTAGCATGACGCGACAACCGCAGAAACTGGTGAAGTAGTAAAAGCCGCAGAGTCCTCGCACAGATCATGGTATACTGGACTGGTCGAAGGAAGCCCAGAGTAAAGGTCCAGAGGATTAATGCTTGAATTGTTGCGTCGGCTTTCTGGAAGGGCGGCCATGGCAGCAAAATGAAGCGATGAAATATAGTTTAGTGGTCTTTTGTTACCATATGTTTCTGTAAACAGCTTTCATCTTCGACCAGCGAGTAGCATTGCCTGAGTGAGATGAATTTCCTGCGCGCTTTTATCTGCTCGAAAACTGACTTGCTTCAAATGGCAGCTAACCTTTACGCGTGAAAGATCATTTTTGATTGAACGCCTACAGATTCTCGAAATTCTTGTGTCGGGCGAAGAACCAGTCAATCAAAACATCACGGTTTACAAAAGAAAGGTTATCAAAACACTTTGGAAGGCAATTTAAAAGAACAACCTGCAATAAAACGTTCCATCATCGGCCATGCACACGGCAGCCGAATAAAGGTATGTATCGTCTATGAATCTCGCCTCAGGGTTGACTTCAACCTACCTCATGAATAATGGGCAACTTAAAAACTCGTCATGCCTAAAACGCGCTTAGAACAGGACGGAGCCCATGGCTCTTCAGAAACTTCTGTTGCCATAACTTAAAACTGGAATAACTCGTCACTAAATCTTGAGACATTTGATCGTTGCCGTTAGGCAAACATTTGACCAATTGTTCTCAGAGTTCTCTCAAACAGCGCAAACAAAAATAAGGGAAACAAACACATGACTATTTTTAAAGAATCTGATTGGTGCAATCAAGAGGGGACAAAGGGTGAGAGAATTAATCCCCGGTCTTATGAACACCTACGCAGTACTTTTGGTGCTGGCTACAATTGAAGATTAAAGCAGATTTCTATTAAATCTACATTCTTTGTTACAAGACAAGATACCGCGCTGATTAAAATCCTTTCTGCTTTTAGTTCGCAAATAGATTACTAACAGGCTTTTGAAAACGTTGTCAGTCTTAATGCGACATTTGAAGAGGCGGTGTCTTTGAAAGTTTGGTATTGGATTGATTTGGTATAGATCCCGACATGTTTGAAAATGTTGAAAATGAGCATGCGATAACTGTTTTCCTTTTTCGTAAAACCAAACAATTTCTTAAGCTTTTGTGTAGTTCTCTCTTACCCTGTACATAGATTCTTGCACGATACGCCAGGAAAGTACATAGCGCACGAAAAACGCGAGTCAAAATGTCGGGTAATCAATCATTTCGCCCCCGCACTCGCGCGTTGACCACGCGTGTAACATCACATTGTGCCATCCCAGAGCATGTAACTTCGCTTCTAATTCTAATAGGCCCTTTAAAGCTAAGCCATCACGAGACCTACTTTTCATAAAATTATGGGCTATGACTTAACGCATGCCAGAAATGGAAAAAGGATGTTGAAAATATCAAAATGGCCAAGTTTGAGGCCTCCATCATTAACGAATGAAATTTTATGACGGTCTGAAGTTTTTAAAAAATAAGATTTGTATGGAAAACGTTGTTGGAGAGCAAGGCCTTGCTCTCCAGCAACATTTTCCATACAAATCCTCTAGATTTTCCGAAAATTCAAACTGTCGCATTAACTTACTCTTTAATTCCAGGGGCCTCAAATATGGCCATTTTGGTATTTTCGATGCGCTCTTTGCATTTCTGGCATTCTTTAAGTTATAGCCCATAATATAAAAATTTTCTTGGAAAAAAATTAGGCACGTGACCCCAGCTGCAAAGGGCCTATTCTCGACTCTGAGTCAAAAGCTGTTCGTGATCAGGCAGAAAGATGTAACCCATCTTTGTAAGTTGTAAGATAAACAAATTTAAGAAAAAAACTGTGGGAGAGACCAAACTAATAATTGCTCGACACCATCAACATTAAATATTATCCGAATTAGTTAATTTCAACTATATTCGTCAAACCTCAAGAGAAATACCTACACAGCCTACATCTCATTAATCCCCCACATATACCTACACAGCCTACATCTCATTAATCCCCTACATATACCAAGAAATCTGCGCGCGCTCAACGGAAAACGTTAGCGTTTTTTGATATTTTATGACGTCAAAATGAGCACAAAAAGCAAAACTGATATTGAATTTTCTCGCTTTTCCTTCGGTGAAATTCCGTAAAATTTGACAGACGGGTAAAAAATACTTTACTGTACTTGGAGCTCGTTTTACAAGGAAACCTATTCGACCAGTTTTTTCGTAGTGTTAAAA